GAAAGGCAGCTACTAGCCTGGCCTGGTTACTTTTCAACTAATGAATGGTACACTTTTGAGTAGATAGTCTATAAGGGATATCCTCAATTGTGTGGTATTCAGTTTGGTGTGTGGTAAAAAGGTTGAGAGAACAACCAGGGCTTCCTTGCTCAAGGAGGCAGGGTTTATATACCTGTTCTTCCTTTGATCCCTCATTACAAGGATATCCTAGTCCAGCTATTTAGTTCTGGTCATGCTGGGCCAAGTTGTGGTTCTTGTACTCGTTACAAGGACTGATACATAGGCCTTACTGTAAGTGTACCTGTGAATGGCTCTTGACACTGAGCCTGAGTTGTGATTATTTATTGTTAAATATGTACTTGATACATTACATATGTTCATCATATGTAACTTTCTATGTTACATGTTTCTACCATATGTAACTTGATACATTACATATGTCCCTCATATGTAACTTGATATGTTACATCTGTACAGTGTTACTTTTTTCATGTGCATTTTGTTTTTACATGTGTTCTTTTATTGGATTACATATGGTTACTATATGTAATCATATTGTTTTCTAGCCTGTGGGACTACCAGTTAGTCCTCAGGGCTGACACAGTATACAAGAATCTACCTGTTATGTGGGTTCAGCAGAATGAGTGAGGGAGCAATAGTGAGGTGAAGTGAGTTGAAGTGAGAAATATGATCTAGGAAATGACTTGGTGAGATAGCATGGGAAATAATGTTAGGTCAGGTATAATGGTGTCTGAGGAAGGTGAGGGTACATACTTCTCTTTCCAAAGATGGGGAAAGAGAAGTAGATTGTTCAGACTGTCCACTATTTATTGCTCATTGTCAGTTCTACTTGATCATACCTCTTCACATGTCTTTGTGTCTCTCCTTCTTCTCCTTCATGTTTTACCCAGTACACTTCTTTTTATTCCTCTGGTTTTTCTAACACCACCTGTAATTTCTTTGTACTTTCCTCTTTCTCTTTCATTTCTCTCTCTTCTTGTTGTTTATCCATTGGTTGAACACCAACAGGATAGATATGGGAAAACACACTTAAAAAACAGGCCACAACTTTCTTTATTTTTGGCTCAAATTAATCCACATTTCTCTTCTACACTTTTAGTTAAGGTTTCAATCTCATATCTTCAATAACAACAGAAGAATCTTGTAACATACCTTTTGAGATTGAGCACTCACTATGTTGGTCAGACTTGAAGGATTGAGGTTGAGGACATACAAAAAACAATGTGGAGACAAGGTGTGGCTTTCCTTTGAGCCTCCAATCAAAATAAATGGCCCAGTAAAAAAGGTAGTGCCACCCATTTGAAGAAATGCCAATCAGTTTTTTCTAGTTTTGCACCTAAATTGGGTTTCAGCCCTTGGAATTAAGGAGAAGGTTACAGATGGCCAACCATATGTACTTTAACCCATTATGTTAGTAGATTAAAAACCATGGAACTGAAAATATGGAAAATATGCATCATGCAGAGACAGCACTTGAAAACACACCAATTTTTTTTTTTTTTTTTTTTTTTTTTGGTATTTTACCCTTGCTCATTGGCTTTCAAAGAATTTGGTAATAAAAGGATTTTGTATTCTTTTTAGAATACATTATTTTCTTGGTAGTGTAAATCAGAAATCAAGATTTATCTTCAGGGACAAGTCAGAAGCACTTGCATAGGATTGAAATGGGCTCAAGGAATGCCTGCAGATAATGTGGATATTGAATTTCTTCTCAGATCACCTCAAGTCACCTCTACAACAGAAATTGGCAGATATTGTGGATGGAATAAAGGACCCAAAGACAGTGCAAAGCTGGTAAATAAAAAATTAATCATTGGATTCTGTAGAAAAACTACAAACAAATGACCTGTGGGCAACAGTGTCAGCCCTGAGGACTACTGGGCAGTCCCACAAGCTGTCACAAGATAGTACCCCCAGTATAGACATGAGAGTAACACTATAAACAAGTACACATATATACCTTACAAGACATAAAAACAATGGCTCACACTGCCAGCAAAAATTACTCGGACAAGGCTGTCCGAAGTGTTCTCGGACAGCCTTGTCCGAGTAATTTTTGCTGGCGGTGTCAGACTCAGTATCAAGAGTCACATGTACAGTAGTGACAATACAGTATATGAAACATGTATCATGCATAAGCATAATACCCCTTTGTTCCAGCCCCTGTTTCAAACAAACTTTTTTAGAGAGGGAAAGAGCTGAGGCTAGACTATATGAAGCCCCTGCTCAGCTCCTGGGCTCAGCCCTTTTCCCTAGACCTTTACCATCAAGACCTAAACTGAACAACAGCACAACATTGAGGATTATCCTAGGGAAATCTGCTCAATAGTGCACTGTTCACCAGGTTAAAGTAAATAAGGTTCTCCCAAATAATAAAGGTCAGATAGTGTTGAAGGGTTACAAGTGCCTATGTAAGGGCTTTTTAGAGTGAAACAGTCTTGAGACCATGAAAGCTAGAAAAGACATGGAGTCATGAATATGAATCCCATTTTGTGTGATGACAGCTGACTGGTTAATGATACAAAACAACACAGAGAGAACAGACTTCTTATATACACATATTTATGGCTACCAGCTCAGGTTCAGTCATACATATGGTCCTCACTAGCTCAGACATTGAGAGAAAAGAAACTTACAGACACAAAGGATGGTGGGACATGAAAAAGGACAACATACTGAGAGGCACATCAACATGAGACACTAGTGTTTGAGCATGACACAGATTTCACATACATGTTACATCAACAGATAGGCCATCTATCCTAGCATTCCTCAGGGATTTCCCTTGGGTGTCTGGACACTCCCCAAGGTAAAATAATAGGATATACTATCCAGGAAAAGCTTAAAGCTGTAGTCCAAAAAAACTACTCTTGTTCCTGATTTAAGGAAGGGAGTCATCCCACTTTCTCTGAGGACCTCTGGTGACCTCAGCAGTCTCCCAATCAAGGCAACACTAATAACCCAGCTCAGGCTAAGAAGTTTGATTGGCTCTTGAACAATTCCTCTCCTTAGAGGTCAATTGACTGCAGTCTATACTTGGTGGTGTCACCAGTGTAGAGTTCTTTTTTAAAGGTTGAAGGCCTTATCTAGTCCTTCTTCCTCTCATTATAGCCAGGAGTTCAGCCTCACAGTAACTCAGCCCTGACAAACAGATTCAACTACATGTCTAGGCAGGCATAGAGCCTGGCACAAGACAATGACAAGATAACAAGACAGACCTGTGGGCAACAGGGTCAACTACACATCTAGGCAGGCATAGAGCCTGGCACAAGATGATGAAAGGATACAAGACAGACCTGTGGACAGCAGGTCAGAACAGACAGATAAAAGGCTGACTTGGCCAAATGTAAAAAGGGAAGGACAGACCTGTGGGCAACAGGGTCAACTACATGTCTAGGTGGGCACAGATCCTGGCACAAGACAATGACAAGATAACAAGACAGACCTGGAAGAGAGAAACAATAATGATTCTTTTTGGTAAGTTTGAAAGTATATGAACAATGGAGAAAAACAGAAATGAAAACAACAGAGCTACACTACATACCTGTGGACAGCAGGTCAGAATGGACAGTTCAAAGGCTGACTTAGCCAACTGTGAAAAGGGAAGGGCTGACCTGACCAGACACAAAGATGAGTTTAGGTAGAAAGAGTATAACAGACATCAAAGAAGAGTATAAAAGAAAGAAGAAGTGCAAACCCAAGGGCAACAGGGTCAACTACACATCTAGGCAGGCATAGAGCCTGACACAAGACAATGACAAGATAACAAGACAGACCTGGAAGAGAGAAAAAATAAATAAGAAGAAAAAATAAACAAAGTGAAGTAGAGAGACAGAGCTGAAGAAACTGAGATTTAGTACCCATTGCATAATTGAAGAGAGTAATTCAGAGCACTTACTGCTTCTTTTTGGTGAGGAAAAGGTTAGTAAACAGGGAGAAGAGCCAGGTTATTTGAGGACAACCAACACCCCCTTTACACTACTCATGAGCACTTCCCATTGCAGAAACCAACTGCTAACTTCACCCATTCACTCAACATACAAATTCCCAAATCAGCAAGTGTTCAATGCAATACACATCCAACATGAAACACTCATGGCCCACAGGACACAAGTCCCAAATGGGACAGGAATCCTACACTTACTCCACTAACTGAAGATGTAATGTCTAGTTGGTTTTGACAAGAGTATCAGGATTAAGTAATCCTAACAGATTCAAGCTTTTTACACCTCAAGGTGCCCCTGCACTTCCCAATTAATATAGATTTAGCCCAAAAGATGATGGAAAGGCTTGGACAGATTTCATGAGGTTTTTTTAGAGATGGTCTGGACAACACCCATCTACTCCACTCCAATACACTATGTCCAGGGTTTTTGATAGTTTACTTCCTGGTCACTATCTTTTGAAGCACTATGCTTCATTATTCACAATCAGATGTATCACCATGTTATTTTGTTGTGATATGACTACATATATATAGAAGCATACTAGATTCACTGCCAAGATATTTGTATCGGATGGGCCTATCCGATGTTCTATCACCCCGAGATATGCGATGCAGTGTCAGTAGGATTAGGTGCGATGGAATTACACTGCAATATGGTGTCAGAGCATTAGATACTGATAGTAATTCCATCGCACCTAATCCTACTGACACTGCATCGCATATCTTGGGGTGATAGAACATCGGATAGGCCCATCCGATACAAATATCTTGGCAGTGATTGTACCCTGTTGTAGTATTATACCACACAGATTGCTTGTACTTTTATAGAGTGGTAAATGTTGAGATATATACTGTTGAGATGTAAACCAATGTATGCTTACATGACACCGCCAGCAAAAATTACTCGGACTTCACTGTCCGAGAACAAGTAATTTTTGCTGGCGGTGTGATGTATCACTGCAGTATGAGGGAACTGTTGAGTTGACTCCATGAGCACATGTATACACATAGAAAGCACTTATGGCAGCCACAAGTGTCTATAGCCTAGTGGTAAAGGGTAGTGTCTTGGATATCATTCTGGGGTTGTGGGTTTGAATCACACCAGACACATAGTGACATTCTACCATCTCTACATATACAATACAAGTAGTAGGTACATTAAGGCAATCTCTTCATGCTGGTACTCATATATTACTTGTGCAGGTCAGAGATGTGATGGATCAAATGGAAAGTGATAGGAGCTATGTAATTGGGAGCATAGTGAGATGTGTGATTGGATGTGGTGGAGTTTCATGTATTTTTCTTTCCTTTCTCAGTAGTTTTTGTGTAGGGGAATTTGCCTAGTTTTTGTTATAAGGGATCCTTGTAGACATCATGCCTCTGATTCTTGCTCTTCCTCACCAAATTGTAGAGCAAAAATCAGAGGTAAGTCTTCCCTCACCATTTTTTCCTTGACTTGTCACTCAGGCCCTGATGCATCTTTTTCAGTCTTATTTTTCTTTCTACACTCTTTGTTTGATCACTGTTACACACAGGTCAGCATCTTCATTGTCAAGCCTTTGCCTTGACACTCTGCTCACTTTTGTCATCTGACCTGCTCATACTAGGCCACTCCAATCTCAGATCAGTGAGTTTCTTCTCTCCATCTTTCTCTCTGATCTTTTACCATGTCCATACTTGTTACTTAATAGCTATACCTGAAGCTGACTATCTTGTAACAGTTTTTTTGTGGTTTGTTATATTTGGTAGTGGATTCCTGGAGCACTACCACACACTACTCTACAAAAAACCAACCACCATTCAGTATGGTAATGACCAAATAGTGACATACCACTTTCATATGGCTAGATTTATTCCATGTGTAATGGTGTGTTGGAGCACTATTGACAGACAGAAGGAGGAAGTGGTTAGGCACTATGACTCTGCCTCAGTGTATATTTCAGGGTGCTCAGAGAGGATCAAAAAAAATTGGTCTTGCAGATTTTTTTATATTCCTGATACAAAGGTCCAATAGCTGGGTGAGCAACTCTCTAACCCAGAGGACAATCCACACACGCTGACCTAGAAACAAGAGAAAGAATGTTAGGGAGAAAGAGTGATGAAAAATGTGGGATTCCTCTAATACAACTTCTAACCTAGATTCAAGTGTGGAATGGTATTAGCCTGGGACACTTTTAGATAGAATAATATGAAGGAGTTATATCTACAAGTGTTAGAGCCAGGCTTGATCAGATCAGGTGAGAAGAAACATACAATGTAAAGAGTGAGATAAAATAAGAGAAATGACTTACTCTTTCCCTATTGAGTTTTGAATAGGGAAAGAGCAAGCTGTTGGTTTGACATGTCAGGAGTAAGGACTGGATCAGATTCATTATAAGCATATTCCTCTATCTGATCATCATGGACGTGCACCACTGGATTTCAACAGGTCTCAAATCCAAATCAATTCAAGAAGCTTGTGATAGAGAGGATCTGAAAACTTGGGGTTAATTAAGGTAGAGGCTTTCAAGTATCAAGTTCATTTTTTTTTTTTTTCAGGTTTTCTAACACACAAAAAAAAACAAAGAAAAAGATAAAGAAAAGTTGTTGTTTGTTTGGACAAGAATCTTCAGTTGATTGAACTCATTTCCCAGTGCTGGGGAAGGATTGAGGTAGTTCAAAGGCCAACTAAAGATGGCCATTGGTATCAAGCATGCAAGCAACCCTTTGAGAAATTTTTAATTTTTTTTTTTTTTTTTCTTGCTACCACAGCACCACTATCAAGAATTACTTTGGATTTTATAATCCATGACTTCCTTAATTGTGGTGTAAGATGGTGTGGAAAACTTTTGATCAACTAATTCTTTGTTGCTGTTATATGCCTAAAGTTTGAAATTTTTTGTATATATATTGGTAATCCAGCTTGATCATCTCCCAGAGTCAAAAAACGTACCTTAACCTGTTGTGGTGTTATATTTTAGAGTGGTTGTGTTATTTTAAGTCCTTTTGAGGGAAATGGCAGAACCATTCTTTTGTAGTATGCTCAGGATCAGGAAAGCTATTTCAAGCACTCATGTTCCTCCATCAATTTCACTCAGTCGGGTTTTGACTGTGTTGGTATCTACCACTAGCTCAGCCGACAATCTTTTGTGATTATAATTCAACAAGTGTAAGCATATGAATGTAAATCATATAAGAAATGGTCGCTGTATTGATGCAGTATGTGGTATGTTATTCACCACGCTAGATGCCAATCAGTACACAAAGTTTTGAGGGATGGGAACTGATCCTCTAGACTGCAAGTGGCATTGAGAGCACATGAAAGATCTGTACAAGAAAATGAGAAAAGAACAAGATTGAAAGGAGTAAGCTTTCTTCTCAATAATGTTATCTATGTAAGCTGAAAGACAGAGCTCCAATGGTTGTGCAGTGCCAGAGGGCTTCTCATCACATTTTCTTACAAATTAACCAGGCTGGCCAAGACTTCGGTCAACATCAGGTTTTGGAGGGGAGAATGCGCTCTAATTATTCATACTTTCCAAAACCAAGCAGTCCTTGCAAAGTGACCTAGGTTTTAGCTTTCTTCCTCACAACATGAAAACTACATCATGCCTCACATCTTCCGATCAAAACTTAGAAAAGAAGTTCATCCTAGTTTCCATTACTTTTTGACATACAGTTTGACTCTGGCAAGCCAGTGTTGACTTCTAAGAAAAGGGGAACAGTGAATAAACCTGGTGTCAGTTCCTTCCATTTCTACCCCAAAATTTAGGAAACAACAAGCAAGAGTATGTCCGCCCACTAACGTTTCTACAGTTTAAATCACACCACCAATTGTTTTTTCCATCATAAAACAAACGATCATATCTCATCCATATTCTCTAGCACTTCTCCCAATTCAACTTTCCCGATCCCAATCCAAAGCCACTCTTCATCGTCTTCAGCAATCCCGTTGAATTCATCTCGTTGTCGACCTTCGGGGGGTTCGGACCGACCAGTGATGATGCCATGGTCTCTGAACTCGACTAGTAAGGCTTCCATCTGGCTTTCGACTGAGGCTACAAACTCGGTACGGGCTAGCTCGAAGAGAGCTCGACTGGCCATCGCTATTGCTGGTGTCTCTTCAGGTAGTGTTCCTTTTTTGAGGTGGTTATCGAGGGTTGTCGCTTGTGTGGTGGAAAAAGATTCGTAAGCTTCGAGTTGGTGGTGGGCTAGGAGTCGGAATAGGGATTTGGCTTTGGAGGTTAAGGAGGAGAGGACGTGAATGATTGCTTTAGAAGTTGTAGGACCTGATTGACGGACGTCGGTCCGAGAGGCATTTGTGCCTGTGACGGTAGATGGAAAGATTGTGGTCGGCAAGAGAGTGGATAGGGTGCCGTCGAGGATAGCTTCGAATGTGTATGGGAGGTAGGTGGGCAAATGATGGTAAAGGAAGTTGTTGCCACACGAGTCTGAGCGTGCGGATGCGAGGGAGGAGGGGAAGAGGAGGGGGGCGTTGACGTGGTCGATAGTGGCCACTAGATGAATCGTAGGTTGGGCAGCAATCATGCTGATGATTGCTTGGGCTCGAACGTTCCGGAAGCCTCGGCCATCGAGGTTGTGGATAAGGACGCAGACAGGAGTTGAGAGTAAAGGAAGCAGGCCACAGAGTCGTCTAGCACGCGCCTCCAAGACCTCGAAATTGTTCATTCGACCCGACACTGGATCCTGGTCGCCACCTGTCCCCGCCTCTTCATTCACGATGCCTTCTAAACCACCCAACACATCCGCCAAACTAGATCCAGCCTGAAAACCGTTGACGACCAGCCCTTCCCAACCAGCACCCTTGACGAGTTCTTGTTCTAGAAACTCGTTCAGCGTAACCCTCTTGCTTCCGACGCCATGAAAAAGAAGAGAAAAACCCTGCTGCAGTTCAGCACGCCATTGAGGCCATCGTTTGCATTGAGAGTCACATATCCGCTTAAGATCAGCTAGTTCAGACTGTGGTCGATCATCGAGCGCGTCGAGGTAGCTAGAGACTGTGAAAGGTTCCCAATTTGGACGCGAGGAGAAGAGATTGGCAGAGGTGGGATGAACCTTGCTATGAGCAATAAAGTAAGCGTCTTGAGGATTGTTTGATTTCAAGAACCCTCCCTGAGTCTCATCTTTTTGAGCCATCAACTCGCCCTCAGGTTCGTCATCATCCTCGTCTTCGGAACCTTCGTCTTCGTCTTCAAGCTCGAATTCCACCCTTCGACTCGGTCGTGGACGTTTTGGCGTCTCATTCTCATCAACGATCGAACGTAGAGACTTGGATTTGGCTGGGGTGAGATTGAGATTTGATTTCTTGGATGGGCTTGAACGTTTTCGGGGGCTCGAGCGAAGTCGAAGTTCAGGCTCCGGTTCATGCTCACGTTTCTTTGAGGTGGGTGTTCGATTGAGATCATGAGACTTTCGAGTCGAAGGTGCCATATTGGTGGGTGAAAATGGACCAGGATGGTGTTAACAGAGGTTGGCCAGGCTCATAAGGTAAATTCCTACCTGCCACTTCAGACCTGTAATTTTCAAGCCAAGGACTAGACCAGGTAATACTACTTGGTCAAGGATAGTTCTACACCTTGTTAGAGAAGTTTGTAAAAGGTCTAGAACCTGGAATTTGAAAGCCTTCCCTCAAATCTTTATCTTTTCATGTCATTCTTTCTTTGTCCTTTTTTTTCTAAGCGGACAGCTGAGTCTTCTTGTTAGTTGTCTAACTGTCTCAGAAAAGGACTTGCTTCTTCTTCATTCTGTTTACTGTTCAGCGTTGTTTGTGCATTACATCATGCATACTTTGTTAGACCAAGTAAAACCTCAAGAATATTCCTGGTGTTACCAGGAGTGTCAGATAGATAGCCCTATCAACTCCACACCTAACCTAATCTGCCATACGTATTTTCCATTCATTTTTTTTTGTCTTTAGAAATTGAAAAGTGAAAGTGTTTCAAAGTACCACATAAAGTGTATAGTGATAATAATTACTTCACCAAAGGAGTGTTTCATACAAATAAATTACTCCTGGCTCTCTTAGCAGTTGAATTGATCAAATAACACGGCACTCCTCACTGCCAACATATGTTCATCGCATGGAGGCTTCCTATGTAACATAGCATGTA